AGAAAGGTTATCAAATGTGCTAGGCTAGCAAAACAACACATCAGTACTCATAGTAATCAGACAGCTGCTTACATTAGAGGTGCAGCTGGGCCTACTTAACTGAACACAGTGTATTCCAGCACCCATCCCCTGACAAACACACACACACATACAACCAGTATAAACCACTCCATATCTTTTGTGTTAGCAAGCTTTATAACGCTCTTGCAACACACTAGGTCATTTAAGTTCCAAAGATTAGAGGTGTTATAAAGAGTAACAAACGCAAAAAAGGAGGAGGAGAAATAAGGACGATAGATGTTTAATAGGAAAGATGGAGCAAACCACACCAGAGCATCCGCCAACCACCCATGATAGATATTTAATAGGTAAGAAGGAGCAAACCACACTGGAGCTCAGCACCCACCAACGACCCGCCTACCACACGCACACTCCACATCTATATCACAGTCACATACCAAATGACACAGAATGACCAGTGAAAACTATTTTCATTCATATATAATGTTCTTTTATTTGATATCTTTGGAAAAATGTTGCATTCTGCTCTACATCCTGTATCAAATGCATGAGGGAAAAAACCCCACACAAAACCACCACAGTTGCACAGGTTTTTCTAGCATAAAACATGATCATTTTGTACAAAAAAGTCTATAATAAATATACGTAGATAATATACCAAATATTATATGTTCTATGGCTGGCTACAATGAACATACACCATTGTTCATACGGTGCACATAAGGAATGGACAAACTTTCTGCATACACCTCACTGCATCCAGAGGTCTTTGAGAAACACAAGTTTGTCTGTTTGAGTAAACAGAAGCACATCGACACAATAATGGTAATTTAGTGCTGTGAAAAAGTAAAACAAACAGACAGAAACAACAGAGGAAAAGTAAAGAAGTAAAGGACCTATCAGTAGTGCCCTCCAAGCACCCGATTTGAGAAACACACAACACAATGTACAATACAACAAGACAGAAACAGGTCAAATGATGAAACTGGATACACAAGAACCAAGTATTTCAATCACAGAAAATCGGCGGCAGTCTCAAAGTAAAGACAGCACAGAACAGCGACAGCACCTGTCAGCTGATCAAAGTGCGCTGTAGCATCTGATCAGATAAAAAGCTCTTTAGTCAGTTTTCAAACAAACCAGTTTTCCCTTCGAATTCGACCAGTTTTCCCTTCGAATTCAGACTGTGTGTAGAGTAATTTAAAACTACACTATACATACAACAAACTGCAATGCAATGAGCGCAAGATAAAACTAAACCCAAATGAGAAAAGCAATTTTATAGTGACTTATTTACCACTTTTCCAGCCAATCTTGTGTCTGTTAGTCAACATTTTGATAACTGTCCCTTTGTTGGTGGTTATATATATATATATATATATATATATATATATATATATATATATCTGCATCTCTTATTCCCCTCATGAAGCTTCTAGCTTAATCTTCGAAACCTATCTAATTCAAAATTGTCAAGAGAATGACGCCTATGGACGCAGCTCAACCAAGACAATAAAGGATACTTATGTTGCAAATAGCAAAAAAGTGAGTAAACACTTCCCACTTCCCATCCAGATGGAAATGTTCTCCAGTGCTTTTTTGGAATAATAATACTATCTCTACCAATACAATAACTGCTCATCAAATCTAAATTCAAAACTTTGAAAAATATTTTGGGCAGTTTTTCTTTTCGCATCAACTAACAAGAAACCAGTCTATTCAATCGATATCACTTTCATTTAACCCAAAGACATAAATCTCTCTTTAACTTCCTCTTCCTAGTCCAAAGTCTGTCAACAATTTGACCGAAAACAAAGATGAAGGTTGAGGTTCCCTTGATGGACACAAAGACACTTAAAGCATTTCCCTACCCTCTACAGAGAGGAGGCGAGAGTTCACAATTTGCATACACAGACACAACAACCTACTCTATGGGTATACGTGTATGTACATTTCTTTACAAGTGTACACAAAATGTCCCACTGGGCAGGACATTCACCAGGTGCCAATCACAACAATGGGACTTGAGGTGACAACCATACATTCCATTCCTTCTCTCTCACTCATGTCTCTTCGGGTACGTTTACATTCTTCTTCTTCCTCGTTCATTAACCTTATGTGAGACCCTGACCCTCAGCAACAGTTAAGGACCCTACGGTTTTCTTCAAAACCATTGCCTTATAATATGAGATCTGGACATGAACTGGAGGAATTCAAATCATGTAACACACACACACAAACACACGCATGTATGCACACACCACAAACACACACACATCTGCATCGACCAAGCACACCAATAGGTCACAACGCAAGGCAATGTCACAACACTGAAAGCACACCTGATGTGAAGATAAGAGGAACACACATAGAGGTCTACACACAGAGCCACCAGTTCGAATGAGATTCAATTTGCTGAAGCCAAAATGATAAAAACATAACAAAATGTCAGGTTATAGTGTTGACATCAAGTCCTGACTGTAAAGAAAAGATACTATAATTAGTTGATGGACAGGAGTTGAAAAAAAAAGTTTTCTAAAAAACAATGTTTTGTAAACTCACTTGTGTTACTCTACTTATTTAATGCATTACTATTAAAGTTGTCCATTCCTTATGCAAAATATTTCTTAATTTTTGGGGGAGTGGGGGGCCGGGGGTGGTTGTCACAGCTTCATTCTCAACAATTTCAGTCTAATTCATACTGGGGTAACTTGTGGCTATGCATGCAGACCCTGCATACAAGAATATTTTCTCCCATTGGAGCCAAGAGTGAAAGAAATAAAACAACCTCCCAGTCCTTTTCAGCACAACCACAAAGAGTGAAGACAGCAGACAACAAACGATCATAACAAGTGCATAAAAAGTGTTTGCCATTGTGCTGTGTCTGGTATTGTCAGGACATGTTCCGACTCTCAAACACAGGAGTAAAACAAAATGTTAATGAGCAGACTTGGCATATGCCGAAACTAATCGCAGCTGTAGGAACAACTGATCTTGATTTGGCAACTTGTACATTGTTCAAAGTTTGACAACTTCTAACGATAGTCTGAACATGACTTTTAAAAAAGATCTGAACTGCCAGTAAATGCAGCATCCTTCCGAAGGTAATTCTAATTTCTAATTAAAAAAAAACCCAACTTAATCAAGTGCACTGTGTGTGCTGAAAAAACCTTTAAAAACTTATAAAAATTTCCATTAAGACTACTTTCTATTTGACAGCAACAAATGCTATTTTTGTACACCAAAGTTATCAGCACATGAAAATATCACTCCGCTCACACAATGATAAAGTTTTATGCATCAGCTGGGACTCGTAATTAACAGAGTTCATCTGTTGGTAGAGCAAACACACAAACACACACGCATGCACACCCACCCTAACACCCATCCACATGCACACACCCATGCACAAACACACACATACCCATACACACACTCAAATTCATAAAATGCAGTAGTAAAAGGATGTTCTATCAAGGGTTTCATTATGAATCCTTGATGTTGCATCCTTCTCCTGCCAGATATATCCACTTCAGATGGCTTTCTATCATCCAGCCTCAGTTTCTATACACACTTACATAAACACACACAAGCAAACACACAGACATGTACACATACTTAGCATGTGTCCATTTCATCTCACAAGTCAATTAGGGTGCACAGGTCCTTTCTCTGCGACTCAAAAAAAACCACAGCCAAATCAGCAAGTTTTCTATACATTTACTCTTGCCCTTTCTTCCACTTACAACACACATGAATAAAACATTCTTAATTATCTTTGCCCTTATCACAACAACCCGCTCCAACCCCTTCCCTAATTTTCAAAGCCATTCTCTCTCACACAGAACTTGAGGTCAATGAGGTATGTACTTCTTCAAAAATGGACACCAAATTATCCAGGCCAAATAGATATCCGTCTTCGTGGTTTCCCTCCTGCCACTGGTTGCGGTGATTCACCGTGATGCCTTTGGGTAGGGGCTCTGTCTTGCCAAAGTCTATCATCCACACACTGACTTTCTCCTCGGCGTCATGGACAAACAACAAAGAGCTACCGATGACCTGTGGGTGAGAGCGAGATTGTTAGGGTGAAAGACAAGTACATTGACGCAGCCATGGTTATTTAGAGGATGGACTTCGAAAAAAAGAGGATGTAAGTAAACAAATGTAAGTTGACGTAGTAGTCGCCATTTGGTGCAGGGTAAGTGTAAGAAAGACAGAGTGAGAGAAAAGAGGGAAAAAATAGAAGTAGGACCTACCAGTGGTGGTGCCCTCTAACCATCAGCAAAAAAGAGGACCAGGCAAAGAAGGAGTTGAACGAACACAAACAAACACGGCTTTAAAAATACCCCAATAGTTAACTCAAACTGGCTTCACAAACGTAAACTTTTTATTTCCCTTACTTTATGTTATACAAAAAGCAAAACTTGTTGGACTTTTTACAGTGCAGTCCATATATTATATAAGCTCATCTAAATTAGCATCTTTTAACAATAAAATACTAACTTTTGTCCACATTCTACCACATTAATTTCTCTCCAGATTAACAAAAATTTGTTTAATTAAAATAAAAATATACCCCCCAAAAATCCCTTAATCATAAGTGTTGTATATTTCCGAAGCAAGTGACATATCTTCTTTAACCACATTCGAGACCAGCAAAACCCAACACAAAGTCATTGTGCTCACCTCATGAGATGTGAAAAACTCGGAGGCCTCTTGCGTTGCCATAATGTCTTTCAACCTTCTGATGTATTTGGCCTGGAAAAGAACAAACAAAAGGTTTAGCTCACTTTGCAAATTTCTAATCAGAACAAAAGACATCTGGAGAATACAACTTTAGCAGTTTGTGAACTTTCATGACATACATGTCAGCTATTTTCTAACTAAAGTCCAACTCAACATTTTCTGTCAAACATTTAAATTAATCTATGACTTGACTTGAGACTTGACAAAAATGATCAGGGAAACCTCTGGTAAAT